CTAACACGTAAGCGCAGGGGGGCTTGTGACGCAAAGAAAGGACATCACGGTATATACTGTCACTGTCGGGGTCTCAGTACTCCTTTGATATACTTGCTATGACCCCGTCAGTGACAGTATAGACAATGATGCCCTTCTATGCCCTACGAACCCTGTGGATGTAATCACTTCTGTTACTTATATGTCATCCTTCATTATCATGTATAGAGGTCGGATTCCGGCATCCTTTTATTGAGTCGGTATATTTGGGGGGCGTGGTTTATGTGTGTGCGACACAACATATAAGTGTGGCAATATCAACAATGGTCTTAAGGAGATAAGTTTGAAATCGTGTATATTGTGTGACTGACAAATAAAAATAAAAGCAATGGCACACTGTATGACCTAATGAGATAATTCATCACCCACAAAGAAACGTCGAGATGTAGTCATGCGTTATGTTTTTCAACTTTGAAGTTAAGAATGAAGCGGCTGCATCTGGACATGTTGCACACTAACACCTGAACCAGTTTTGTAAAATCACGTGTGTCCCAAGGCTATTCCTCCTTTTGATAAGTTGATCGAGTCTGGACGTAAAGTTTATTCGTCGACAGTCGCTGGTAGATACCTCGCCAGTGAGCATGCATTATGTTATATGTTCTCTATGATCATGGAATATGGTGGACTGAAGAGCTGACTGTCTCCTGAATTGTACTTACATTTATATTTGTGACAACACGGAACATTACAGTCCTTCGTACTCATTCGCACCACAGGGTCAAGGTGGGTTTCATGGTAGCACGTCGGTTGAAAGCTGGTACTTCACAGTAGCACATCGATTGAACGAAGTAGTAAACAGGTGCTTTATGATTTCCACACAGGTTCAGCCGGTAACGTGCCGTAGAGTAAACAGGTGCTTCATGATTTCCACACAGGTTCAACCGGTAACGTCCTGTAGAGTAAACAGGTGCTTCATGATGTCCACACAGGTTTAACCTGTAACATCCTGTAGAGCAAACAGGTGCTTCATGATTTCCACACAGGTTTAACCTGTAACATCCTGTAGAGCAAACAGGTGCTTCATGATTTCCACACAGGTTCAACCTGTAACGTCCTGTAGAGGAAACAGGTGCTTCATGATTTCACACATTTAACCTGTAACATCCCGTAGAGCAAACAGGTGCTTCATGATTTCCACACAAGTTCAGCCGGTAACGTCCTGTAGAGGAAACAGGTGCTTCATGATTGCCACATAGGTTCAACAGGTAACGTCCTGTAGAGCAAACAGGTTCAACCGGTAACGTCCTGTAGAGCAAACAGGTTCAACCGGTAACGTCCTGTAGAGGAAACAGGTGCTTCATGATTGCCACACAGGTTCAACCGGTAACGTCCTGTAGAGCAAACAGGTTCAACCGGTAACATCCTGTAGAGCAAACAGGTGCTTCATGATTTCCACACAGGTTCAACCTGTAACGTCCTGTAGAGTAAACAGGTGCTTCATGATTTCCACACAAGTTCAGCCGGTAACGTCCTGTAGAGGAAACAGGTGCTTCATGATTGCCACACAGGTTCAACAGGTAACGTCCTGTAGAGCAAACAGGTTCAACCGGTAACGTCCTGTAGAGCAAACAGGTTCAACCGGTAACGTCCTGTAGAGTAAACAGGTGCTTCATGATTGCCACACAGGTTCAACCTGTAACGTCCTGTAGAGCAAACAGGCTCAACCGGTAACGTCCTGTAGAGCAAACAGGTTCAACCGGTAACGTCCTGTAGAGTAAACAGGTGCTTCATGATTGCCACACAGGTTCAACCGGTAACGTCCTGTAGAGCAAACAGGTTCAACCGGTAACATCCTGTAGAGCAAACAGGTGCTTCATGATTTCCACACAGGTTCAGCCGGTAACGTCCTGTAGAGCAAACGGGTCCTTCATGATTTCCACACAGGTTCAGCCGGTAACGTCCTGTAGAGCAAACAGGTTCAACCGGTAACGTCCTGTAGAGCAAACAGGTTCAGCCGGTAACGTCCTGTAGAGCAAACAGGTGCTTCATGATTGCCACACAGGTTCAACCGGTAACGTCCTGTAGAGCAAACAGGTTCAACCGGTAACATCCTGTAGAGCAAACAGGTGCTTCATGATTTCAACACAGGTTCAGCCGGTAACGTCCTGTAGAGCAAACGGGTGCTTCATGATTTCCACACAGGTTCAGCCGGTAACGTTCTGTAGAGCAAACAGGTGCTTTATGATGTCCTCACACGACACACGCGAGCTCCTCACAGTTTAAACATTACTGTTTTTTAGGGTTACACAATGTTTACGCACGGGTGCTTCACGGGTTGTACATATATTGTACTCTTGGGTAGTACACAGATCTGCTTCACAGGCTCTGGACCTCAGAGGAGTTGAGCATTGAGGCTCATCCCTTAAAAGCTTTGCCAAGCATGAATCACATCTGCCGACCCGTGAAGATTCGGGTTAGAATTGGTCTTCAGTAACCCGTGCTTGTCGTAACGGGATCAGGTGGTCAGTCTCCTGACGTGGTTGACACATGTCATCGAATCCCAATTGTGTAGAACGATGTTCATGCTGTTGATCACTGGATTGTTTAAAACTATTTTCACTCACTCACTCACTAATGTACCATGGGTATTGCACGCGAGTGTTTCCTGCTTGTCAACACGTGTAGTGTCAATCAGGTCTATATGGGTTTGCACACGTGTTGCACACGGGATGTGCACCTTCCCAACGACGCTCTCACCTGTGCTAACACTGGTTAGTAGTGCATGGAACACGTTTTCAAAAGGTCGAATGTGACAAAATATCTGAAAGGCAAGCGAAAGTATACCGAGTGTGTGTGTGTGTGTTTGTGTGTGTGTTTGATGTGGCTGAAAATTAATAAAAGTGTAAGTAAAATATGATTGTACCTATTTAACCAACTTTCAGAGGCGAAACGGTTATAGAACCTAGGGCTTGGTAATTAGATGTAAAAGTAAACTAAATTAGTTAAATGAAATAAATGTTTTGCAATCACGTAACTCCTTGCGTGTTTAGTAAGTAGTAAATCCATTCTAAAAAAACATCTAGATATTTCACGATATATGCCCGTTATCCGTTGTTCTAAAACAAATTACAGTTTACAAAATGATACTATGTTGATTTATTCTTTAATGTTGACTAAGCGCCGGTATTGTTCAAAGTCAACAACTGACCTGTGCATTGAAAAATGAAAAAGAAACCATGAATAAGTGCCGGGCCAAGAGGTACCACATGGTAGCACCTCCAGAAATGTATTGTCCCAGAACAACCCCACATGTCTTTAGTTTATGCCGCCTTTAGCAATATTCCATCAATATGACGGCGGGGAACACCAGAAATGGGCTTCACACATTGTACCCATGTGGGGAATCGAACCCAGGTCTTTGGCGTAACGAGCGAACGCGTTAACTACTCGGCTTCCCCCACCACCCCTCCACATGAAAGGACCAAAAATACCGAATATTTATGTGTCCCGTACGAGAAAGAAAAGAAGTATATGATTAAATAAGCACAAAAATAGGCAGATTTAAAATGTTTACTTGAGTGAAATACATATTGTACATTTTGGATAAAGTATTAAGTTTGTGGATACATAAGAGAGCTAAATAATAAATCATTGTTAAATAAAGCTTAAAATGTAGAAAGCTAAAATGTTCATTTGCGTTACACAACACATGACAGTACGTTATTTAATAAAGTTTTAAAATGGTGATTAACGACAAAATGTGACATTAAGAGTCACAGATTAATTCTTACATATAATGCATTCAATTTGTTAAACGAATAAAAAGTTGAATTTTAGTGTAACACGTCATCACATAATTATGATACACTGTTAAACCAAGCGTCAGAATAATAAGTGCAAGAATGTATATTTACGTGTCATATGTCAAAAAACAAAAGATACATTTTGAACTACAGCGTTAGAATGATACGCTTAAATGTTTACGTTCGTGTTACACATACAAACATGCTTGAAATACGTTTTTAAATAACCTGAAGAAGTAGAGCGTTGAAATGTTTATTTACATATCGCACATCGATATGGTTTCTACATTTCCGTCGTCACGCCGAAGACCCGGGTTCGAATCCCCACATGGGTACAATATGTGAAGCCCATTTCTGGTGTCCCCCGCCGTGATGTTGCTGGAATATTGCTAAAAGCGGCGTAAAACCAAACTCAGTCAGTCAGTCCTACATTTTCGCCATTTTCGTCCTTCCGCCATCTGCTCTTGTTGTGTTAGTGAGTGTGTTGGTGTCACTTTATCAGGGCGTGTCACGGAAACAGGAAAGTTCGATATGGTCTTAAACGTTTTGGTGGAGGAAACAGCACCGGAATGGTACTGATGAGTATAGAAACACAATTATTGACACTATGGCATACGTGTCCATGATCACAATCTCACCCAAAATGTTTAGCTCTGTATAAACGACTTAATACATTCACATGTAAACAAGACGCTAGACACATGAACTAATTTTTTTCAGTTTACATTCATGGAGGTTGGTTACAAAAAGGTTGACAAGTATAGCATGTTTCAGTTTCCAAACATGGAGATTGGTTATACAAAGGTACACAAGTATAACATGTTTTAGTTTACATGCATGGAGGTTGGTTATACAAAGGTTCACAAGTATAACATGTTTTAGTTTACATGCATGGAGATTGGTTATACAAAGGTTCACAAGTATAGCATGTTCCAGTTTCCAAACATGTAGATTGGTTATACAAAGGTACACAAGTATAACATGTTTTAGTTTACATGCTTGGAGGCTGGTTATACAAAGGTTCACAAGTATAACATGTTTTAGTTTACATGCATGGAGATTGGTTATACAAAGGTTCACAAGTATAGCATGTTCCAGTTTCCAAACATGTAGATTGGTTATACAAAGGTACACAAGTATAACATGTTTCAGTTTGCATACCTTGATGTTGGTAAGAAAGGGTTTATAAATCCACTTTTCATTGTGCATGTTCTTTGGTTACATAAGTCCAAAGTTGCCACATGAAGATTTTCCTGGCAACATAAAGGTTGACAAATACTAGTATAGTATAGTATATATTTTTAGTTTGCACACAGGTAAGTTGATTACTTAAGTCCAAAGGTTGACACGTGTACTATTTTTCTGTTTCCACGCAAGGAGAATGGTTCATAAGTCCACATATTTGCCAGTATGCAGTATACACACAGGCAGGTTGATCACTTCAGTCCAAGGTAGACCCATGGACTACTTTTCAGGTATACATCGGGGTGTGGAAAGGGTATTGTCGCTTCTGTCAAAATAAGTCAAAGGTTGATACATGTACTATTTTTACATACGCCAAGGGCGACAGAGAGTATATTTGGTTTTCAGGGGACATGGGGGTCTGTTGCGTAATGTCAATGGTGCCGCATACAGTGTGTTGCTTTTGTTCACAGTTGTGGATAATTCCTTCTTGATTAGCACTTACAGGTTGAGGGATTCACAAGCAAGTGCGTTCGTAGAACGTATAGGATGTGCCAACTTCTTGACTGCTTACTGGAACGGACAGAAACGTTTCGCTGGACAGGTAGCACTCGCTATTCGTATAGTCGAGCGAAGTGCAGGTAAAGGTGCTACTATTAGCGGCGAGACATAGCTGACGGCAAGCTGCCTCGGTGACGCCGGAAACGTGATCATCGTTATAACCACCAATGGAACGATCTAAATAGCGGACGGCGTCGTATCCCCAATCGGTGCAGTCTGTGGAGAAAAACATCCACATTTAACACCATCAACACTTTATTTCAGGTGTGAAGTATTAAGTGGACAAATAGAGAACTAGAGGGACCCAGAATACAGGGGTAACACTTAAACTATACAATAGGGGTAACAATTACTCTGGGCATGAGCAGTGATACTTACACGATGCAACAGGTGTAAAAGTTTTAGAACACATTAAAGATCAAGGTTTACAATTTGCAAATATAGGAACACTTTCAGTATGCATTTAACTGTAAAATCCAAGCATAAAACAGGAGTAACATTCAGAGTATAGCTTTGAGTGTAACTCTATACAGTAAGCCAAGCAGTACATGTGAAACAATCTCCTTCCTGTTGACGTGCACCTCCAACATTACCTGTGATACGAGCTCTCCTTCCTGTTTGATACACTCGCTCCTTAGTGTTGACCTGTATTTGTAATATTACCTGTGACACACTTTCCTTCCTGCTGACGTGCATCTGTAACATTACCTGTGATACACACTCTCCTTCATGTTGACCTGTATTTGTAATATTACCTGTGATACACACTCTCCTTCCTGTTGACGTGTATCTGTAACATTACCTGTGACACACACACTCTCCTTCATGTTTTGTAACATTATCTGTAACATTCCTTCCTGTTGACGTGTATTTGTAATATTACCTGTGACACACACTCTCTCCTTCATGTTGAGTTGTATTTGTAACATTACCTGTGATACACACTCTCCTTCCTGTATGACGTATTTTGTCCTATCCTGTGATGACTCTCCTTCCTGTTGACCTGTATTTGTAACATTACCTGTCACACACTCTGTCCTTTCTGTTGACGTGTATCTGTAACATTACCTGTGACACACGCACTCCTCCCTACTGAGAACATGATGCCGGGTTGACAGTTGCAAACTCCTTCATTGCAATAGGTGTGTTCAAGACTGCAGTCGCCATTACTTGTACAAGCACTGCCAACGAAGTCGGAAGCTGAAGCAGAACCATCAAGTGAGTTGAAAAGTGACTGAATATGTGACATTGGTTGTGTGCCAGCTGGGGACACCTGATGTTGACTTGACACGATCACCCTTTGGGGAAACGACCATGGGTCTTGGGCGTGACGAGCGATCGTTCTAACCACCAACATAAACTACCGGGCAAAATAAACTTAACTCCTTTAAAGTAATTGTATAAAAAGACAAAAAGCTGGTACAGGTTAGAACCCAAACAGAAAACATTCGCCAAAGCGCATCATGGTGCCGATGACAAATCAGGTGTCAGTAATACAAACCCACTACGAATATGCCAAGAGGACTGGCCAATATGGGGCGTCACGACGTCAGCTGCCAAGCGCCTTCAACTGCAGCCAGGCAAACACCACAGACCCAAGACTGTGTAGTATATGAGCCTACTGCCCCTTCTGTGGAATGGCCTTAACCCGTCTACACCGTCAACGCAGACTGGAATGGACACGTGCCGTGACTAGTAGAGAGTGCTCTTTGCAGATGAAAGTCGGTTCAGTCGGTTCAGAAACGATGACACATTTCGAGTCTTTCGACGTAAAGGAAAATGACCGACGCCAAACCGCGTTTAAGATGTTCGCCATACGTTTGATGGAGTAGGCGTCATGGTATGGGGCACCATTAGCGGCCAGTGAGCAACAAAGACTGGTTATCATTCGAGGAAGTGTGAATGCCCGGTGATACAGGGATGAAGTGTTGAGTCCTTTTGTAGTGCCCTTTATTCTCGCCACAAAGCCTAGAAGAGTAGCTAGATTTGCAACACGACAACAACGCAAAGCCTCACACCGCTGGAATTGTTCTAGAATATCTGCACAATGTTAAAGGTCAACGTGTTGCCTTGGTCAGACTCTCTTTGGACTCTTGGAGGGATTCCTACTGACGTCATCAGCCGAGTGACGACGTCAATGAGGAGGCGATGTATTTGTGTGTATGGATGTCCAGGGTGGTCACACTCGCTGTCCCATTATTTTTTACTCTTTATGCACTTTTTAAAAGTGATTTGTGTAATTTTTTTCATTTTGACCTCTTGGCTCAATCTCAACGGCTTGCTGCAGCAAATGTAAGACCATCGTTACAGTGTCTGCAGTCAAATTATTGGAAAATGATTTGTGTTAAAAATATTTATCACCAATTTCACAAATGTCTTTGTTTCTGCTATTTTGGTCAAGGGAAATCTAAAAATAAATGTATTTTTGCCCGGTACTTTATACCATGTAATATATATCCTTTTCTGACGTTCCGAACTGTTTCTCATGCACCTGACATCCTGAACCTCACACCCTGTGCCCTCACACTCCTGCAATACTACAACCTGTACTCACAACCTGTAATACCTCACAACCCTGTACCTCAAGTCTATACTCACACCTCGTACTCTCACACTCCTGTACTACAACCTGTACATCACAACCTGTAAATTACCGTACCTCACGCCTCCACTCTCACATTACCTCACACCCCGTGCCTGTAGCACACACCCGTGCACTCCTGTACCTCAAGCTCTGTACTCTCACACCCTGTACCTCACAACCTGTACCTCAAGCTCCATACTCTTACACCCTCACACTGCCTCACACAAGCCCGTAGCTCACACCCTGTACCTCACAACCCGTGCCTCACAGGTACTCCGTAGCTCACCTCACACCCTGTGCCTCACACCCTGTACTCTCAAGCCTGTAGCTCACATCCTGTACTCTGACATACTGAACCTCACAGCTCCGTACTCTCACCCTGTGCCTCAAGCCTGTAGCTTCACAACTCACACACCTGTACCCAAGTCTGTGCCTCCAACTCACACCTGTACCGTCAAGCTCTGTAGTTTCGAACGCGGTACTCTGGACTCCTGAACTCTCACACTCCTGTGCCTCCAGAAGCTCACACCCCGTGGAACCTCACACCCCGTACCAAGCTGCCTCACACCCCGTACCTCAAGCTCCATCTCGCCTAGCTCACACCCCGTACCTCACACCCTGTACCCAAGCTCCGTAGAACCTCACACCCCGACACCTCAAGCTCCGTGGCTCACATCCTCTGATCACTATTATCCAGACTAACCTGAAGCCTACAGCTCACCCCGTACCTCATCATGCTCCTCACACCCCGTACCTCCACCCTGTACCAAGCTCTGTAGCTCAAGCACCCTGTACCTGGACATACTGAACCTCAAACCCTGTACTACACCGTGCCTCTCACAACACCCATGCCTCAAGCTCTGTGTAGCTCACACCCTGCAATTTCAGCACCTCAGGCTTCAAGCTCCGTAGCCGGTCCCTACATCCTGAACCCTCACACCCCTGCAATACCTCAAGCTCCAGCTCACACCTGTACCACACCCTGTACAAGCTCCGCAGCCTCACACCCTCATTCCGAAATCCTGATACACCTAGTACCACACCCTGTACCTCAAGCTCCGTGGCTCACAGCCTGTACTCTGGACACCTTGAACCTCACACCCCTGTACCCCTCAAGCTCCGTAGCTCACACCTCTTCTGTACCTCCACTCACACCCTGTGCCTCACATACCAAGCTCCGTAGCTCGGAGCCCCCGTACCTGGGACATCATGAGCCTGCTTTTACCCCGTACCTCAAGCTCCGTAGCTCACACTGCCCGTGCCTGGAAACTGAACCATCCTGTACTCACACCTCTGTCCCCGACATCCTGAACCTCACACCCTCCTCCTCCTGTAGCCACCCCATTACCTCCATGTAGCCACCCTGTACCTCAAGCTCCGTAGCCACCCTGTACCTCCTCTTGAAGCCACACGCTGCCATACTCCAGCTCTCCACTCCTGTACCCCTCAAGCTCCACAGCTCCACCCCTGTTTCAAGCTCCCTACTTCCATCCTGTGCCTCATCCATACCTCACTCCTTATCCAAGCTGCAGTTTCACACTCCTGTACCTCAAGCCTGTACCTCCACCTCCATGCTCAAGCTCCCATACCTCACACCCATGCACATGCATCCTGAACTCCACACCCCTGTACCTCAAGCTCCACCTAACACCCTGCACACAAGTATCCCTGTACTCATGCACACTGTACCTCAAGCCTCTCCATTCCTCACAACATGTACCCACACCCCGTGCTTTCAAGCCTTTTCACACTCCTGCACTCCATTCTGTACCTCCCTGTAGCTCGAACCCCGTAACTGACATCCCGTGAACCTCACACTCCTGTACCTCAAGCTCCGTAGCTCACACCCCATTACCTCTGCAATCCAAGCTCCGTAGCCTCACACCCCGTACCTGAAATCCTCCCTCACACCCCGTACCTCACGTGCTTTACCTCCCCGTAGCTCACACCCCCGTACCGACATTGTGAACCCTCACATACCTCAACCTCCGTGCCTCATTTGTCCTGTACCCTCAAGCTCACATGTACCTCCACCCCGTACCTCAAGCCTCCGTACCCCGTCCATGCTCACCCGTGCCTCACACCTCTGTACCTCAAGTCCGTACCTCAAATCCTGCTCCTCACACCCCGTAGCTCACACCCCGTACCTGACATCCTGAACCTCACACCCCAGTGTACCTCAAGCCTGTAGCTCACCCCCGTACCTCGCTCCGTAGCCTCCTCAAGCTCCAGTGCCACCCCGTGCCTCCACCCCGTGCCTCAAGTCTCAGCCAGCTCACAGCCTGTACCTCTTGTAACTCACACCCCGTGCCTCACGTCCGTACCACTTACCTCCGCTCCCGTAAATTCTCAAGCTCCTGTGGCTCACAGACCGTGCTTGTAGTCCTGATCTCAAGACCTCACACCCCGTTACCTCACACTCCGTGCCTCACTCCGTCACCCCGTGCCTGTAGCCCTGTACTACACCCTGTACCTCACACCCCCGTACCTCACACCCTGTACTCAAGCCTCACCCCGTGCCTCACAACCCGTGCCTCCAAGCTCCGTAGCTCTCACACTCACCCTCGTACCTCACTCCACACCCTGTACCTGCCTCAAGCTCCGTACCTCACACCCCTGTACCTCCTCCGTGCCTCACACCGTGCCATCCTGAACCTCCACCCCGTGCCTCAAGCTCCGTACCTCACGTGCCTTGTACCCTGAGCCTGAACCTCACACCCCGTACCCCTCACCTCAAGCTCCGTAGCTCACACCCCGTACCTGACATCCTGAACCTCACACCCCGTACCTCAAGCTCCGTAGCTCACACCCCGTACCTGAAGCTCCTGAACCTCACACCCCGTACCTCACACCCCGTACCTGACATCCTGAACCTCACACCCCGTACCTGACATCCTGAACCTCACACCCCGTACCTCAAGCTCCGTAGCTCACACCCCGTACCTCAAGCTGCCTGTAGCAATCACCCCGTACCTCAAGCTCCGTAGCAAACACCCCGTGCCTCAAGCTCCGTAGCTCACCCCGTTCCTCAAGCTCCGTAGCTCACACCCCCGTACCTCAAGCTCCATAGCTCACACCCCATTACCTCAAGCTCTGTAACTCACACCCCGTACCTCAAGCTCCGTACCTCACACCCCATACCTCAAGCTGCGTAGCTCACACCCCGTACCTCAAGCTCCGTAGCTCACACCCCGTACCTCAAGCTCCGTAGCTCACACCCCGTACCTCAAGCTCCGTAGCTCACACCCCGTACCTCAAGCTCCGTACCTCACACCCCGTACCTCAAGCTCCGTACCTCACACCCCGTACCTCAAGCTCCGTACCTCACACCCCGTACCTCAAGCTCCGTACCTCACAACCCGTACCTCAAGCTCCGTACCCCACTCCTCATACTTCTCACTCCGTACCTCAAATCCCGTACCTCACACCCCGTACCTGACATCTTCACTTCATTGTGACCAAGTCCCCTCTCAATAAAAGATGTTACTCTCACCTCGAGGCAGTAGATACATCCTTGTTCCAGGGGAAGCAAGGGTGGGTGAGTAGATCTTGTCCGGACTGGCAAACGCTGTAGCATGGCCTGTGCACCTTCCAGAAGAACCCAGAGTCTGGAAACTGTGACAACGAACATCATGGAAACATTTTCCTAAACAATCCAGTTTCCCTAAAGAAACCTCCCACAATACGTACTCGCGCACTTCCACATTATCGAAAGCGGGTAACGGTCCGACTTTCTCATTGACACACTTCTGACAATAATGGAACTTCAGGACAAAAATCACGACAGCAACTTTGTGGATCAGCGACATGCTGATCCTGTTCTCATCAAACAGCCACTAAAGCATGGTCACAGCTACTGACTTACTTTACTAGCTGTCTTGCATTAAATATTCAGACGACTCTGGTTCTATAGAGACAGCAATAGACCGATCCAGTCTCGGCCGATAGGGCCCGCCCACTAGCTCTCGTCTTCGTTTCAGATGTTTGGTGGGGTCAAGCATTGATTAATCGCTATGGTGCCATCGCCGGCAAAACGTGATTGCGTTGTTGATGAATTCTGCTTGTGGAACTTTGGTATCCGTCGTTTGTGAATGACATTTAAGAAGGAAAGTTATCCGTATTTGATTTGAAATATGTTTCAGTTGTCAAATTGCATCTGGCGAGTGAAAATGAGTTACATGCCTGATAATATATCGTATAATAAAGCTACTGAGAGTGGGAAGCGTATTTTCTATCGAACCAATCTATCAGGCAATTCACGTCCGTCAAAGAAATTAGCTGGGGAAGGGTAACTGATCATGATTTTTTCTTCAAAATCCATCTTAATTTAAAACAACAACAACAACAACAACCGTGAACATGTTGCAGATCGCTTCGGTATCTATAAATAGATTGTCAACTTTATTTGTTTATCCGTTGTTCAGTTTTAGTGAAACCAATAATCTGACAACATGGGTTTCTATCTTTTAATGAATTAAAGAAGGGTAACTAAAACCAAGCGAAGCAACATTTCCCATGTCCTCTACTTCGCTCACCTTATCTGTCTGTATATATCAATGTAAACGAATCAATCACAGCATAACTTATTGGATCTCATTGGGGAATCTGGAAAAGGGCTGTAAACAGTATGTTTCCAGGGATGTATCTGCACCTGTCCAGTAGCTAATATTCAGCGGCAAATCCGTGGTAAATCTCAAGAAGAATTCCCTCTTCAAATGGTTTAACATCTGGACACCATCCTAAAATAACACTGAATATAGGGAAATCCTTTGCGAAGCGATCCTTTGTTTACATAGGTTGTGCGGTTCCACGTGCTGTCATCGAAACCTTGTGCAGACCAAGTGATGCAGTAACTTTGATACAAGACAAATCTTATGGATAACAACTTCTTGGTTTATTTTTATTTTCCAGAACGTTTCTGGGCTAGTTCTTGCCCCTTTTCAAGTGAAGATATGTTTATTTACATATTTGGCAATTTCTTTGAGGTGAAGGTCGGTTGAATAAGAGTAAACACAATCGCCATGTCCAAGATATTTTTATGGATTAAACTTCTTTTTAATTATAAAAATAATTTCCATAAAAATATCTTGGACATCAATGTACAACTTCTAAATGCCACTGAAAGACACAATCGCCATGTTCCACCGATTACACTTTCAGCGTATATTTTGAGTATCTTTCAGATATTTTTTCATGAAACTAATTTCATTATCTACATTTAGCCTTGTTCTATACCATATCCTTGGATATAGGGTATACGGTTTTCATTCTGTCAAGGGTTTTGTTTGTTTGAATAATATTTACATAAGAAATTGATATACTGAGTGTAGTACACCATATTTTTAACCCTTCAACAAGTATTAGAAGAACAAACGAAGGCGTAACTGCAACATGTACTTAAATAGTTCTATGTGATAAATGTGATGTATGTTGTATGCCTATGTGTTAACTGTGATATATGGTCTATACCTATGTGTTAACCGTGATATATGGTGTATGCCTATGTGTTAACTGTGATGTATGATGTATACCTATGTGTTAACTGTGATGTATTGTGTATGTCTATGTGTTAACTGTGATGTATGGTGTATGCCTACGTGTTAACTGTGATATATGGCGTATACCTATGTGTTAACTGTGATATATGGTGTATGCCTATGTGTTAACTGTGATATATGGTGTATGACGATGTGTTAACTGTGATATATGATCTATACCTATGTGTTAACTGTGATATATGGTGTATACCTATGTGTTAACTGTGATGTATGATGTATACCTATGTGTTAACTGTGATGTATGATGTATACCTATGTGTTAACTGTGATATATGGTGTATACCTATGTGTTAACTGTGATGTATGGTGTATACCTATGTGTTAACTGTGATGTATGATGTATACCTATGTGTTAACTGTGATATATGGTGTATACCTATGTGTTAACTGTGATGTGTATGCCGTGTATTAACCTATGTGTTAACTTGTGTTAATTGTGATATATGGTGTATACCTATGTGTTAACTGTGATGTATGGTGTATACCTATGTGATAACTCTCATGGACGATGTTTACCGATGTGTTAACTGTGATATATGGTGTATACCTATGTGTTAACTGTGATGTATGATGTATACCTATCTGTTAACTGTGATGTATGGTGTATACCTATGTGTTAACTGTGATGTATGGTGTATACCTATGTGTTAACTGTGAT